AGCTCAAGGCCAGCCTGAATTGCACAGAGACCCTGTCTCAAAAAGACCAAAAAAAAAAAAAAAATTAAATGGCCATAGTTTACTCTCAGCAGGAAGTAAATAAAGTAAGGAAATGGAATTTATGACTTCATTTTGTTCCTCTTAGATTTTGGTAATAGGAGGAAATTCAGTTTAATTATTAGATAAATGAGATTTTAGAGTACTGAATCTGTTATTTAAAACTGGTTGTATGTCTCTTCAGATTTTAATACTCTTAGAAACAAATTCATAAACCCAGCTTATAAGATATTTTTACAGTTCAAATGAGAAGGGGAACAAAGGAGAGGAAAGGAAAGAAGAGAAAAGAAAAAGAACAGCCAGGCGTGGTGGTACACTCCTGTAATCCCAGCACTGGGGAGGCTGAGGCAGGAGGATGGCTTTGATTTCAAGACCAGCCTGGGCTACAAAATGAGTTCAAAGCCAGCCTAGACTACAGAGTGAAACCCCATTTCAAAATAAAAAGAATAGAAGGAAAAAATGTAAACAAAGCTTTTATAAATAAAGAGGGGAAGAGGGGTTGAAGGGAGGGGAGGGGAATGGGAAAAGAAGAAACATATAGGTACAATCCCCTGTGATGAGTGTGGTCATTATGTGTATCTAAAATTACACCAATAAAATAAAAACTTTTAAAAATAAGACACTTCTACAGAAGTGCTGAAATGCGGTCTTCTCCGCCCGAGCGGTAGGCAGCAGCCGTCACTTGCCCTCTCCCGAGGCCCCGTTCCTGTGCAGTCGTCACAGCCAGGACCGAGCCGCGGGGAGCCAGCACCGGCCTCCAGCTGTGTGGCTGCCCTCCGGAGGGCGCTCACTGTGGAACCCGCTGTCTTTGCTTACCCTGAACAGTAGCCGTTAAAATGTTGTCGGGGCTGTGGCCTCATTTGTGAACACCAAGAGGGTTTAGACCATGCCCATTGAGAGAGAGATGCTACGGGAGCTGAGGCCCGACGCACACTTCGGCTCGGCATTTGCTTAGCAATGTAGCTTGGCTGTCTTCAGGGTCTCTTAATGAACTCGTGTTGATCAGGTACTCATTAACGTAACCCCTGTGTGTCTTAAAATCCTTTTTAATACAGCATCACTTAACGTGGAACATGCCCCAGTAGAAGAGTGTCTGAAACCACCTGACATCTCCTATAGCTTCACCGTAAATACTGCAACAAAATGTATTGTGTCCATAGTTTTCATGATAGGATTATTTTTTCCTCTTTACTAAGTAGACACTGGAATGGCGAGCGCTCTCCCATCATGCTGAGCTAGGTCCTCTGCACTTGTGACGGCGGCTGTCTGGTTACTCCCAGACTGCTGAGGAGGTTACTGGTGCTAACGATGGCCGTGTCTTAACTCAGTGCTGTGCAGCGTGGCCCTCAGCCTGGCCTTGTGGCTTAGGTAGCCCAGGCTGGCCTTGAACTCACGGCAGTCCTTCTGCCTCAGCCTCCCAAATGCTGGGGTACCTGGTGCACCACCAGGCCTGGCCTTGTGGCTTTATTTTATTGGTGGATGTGTTCAGGGGAACTCCGTTTACACTGTGACATTTCCTGGCCATTGTGAGGCCACAGGGAAAGTAATCCTGATCCACCAGGAAATGTTGCCACATACAGTTGTAAGTGAAATCAGTGTCACCCACAGTTAAACGAAATTATGATTTTGTTGCTAGACAGGAAAAGGTGTGTGTGCGCCTGTGGCTGCGTTTGTTGAAGAACACGCTGACCCCTCGCGTCTTGCCTGCAGGGGTCCTCAGCCTGCTGGAGCACGGGGAAGAGTACACCTTCTCCCTGCCCTGCGCGTACGCCCGCTCCATCCTGACGGTGCCCTGGGTGGAACTGGGCGGCAAAGTCGGCGTCACCTGCGCCAGGACGGGGTACTCGGCCAGCATCACCTTCCACACCAAGCCATTCTACGGTGGCAAACTGCACCGGTAAGGACTGACCCACGGCGCTCGGCCTGCTCCTCTGACCCTTTGTAGTAACCCTGATTGTTCTGCTCCTCTGTTCGATGGGGATGAGATTCATTCGTGTTCGCATTTTGCTTACTATGCTTTATCTTTCACAGTGTTCTGGAAATCATGACCTAGGTCGGTTTTTTCGTTTTGTTGGAGGGTTATTTTATGGCAATGCTGGGCCCTTACCCATGCGGGCATGCCCTTTACCACTGAGCTGTATTCCCTGGATTTTAATATAGTTGCATTATTCACGCATCGGTTTTTGTCAGATTTCCCCGATGAAGTCACTAACAACACGTACAAGAGAATTTCTAACCAAGGTGTATGCATCTCTGCCAGAGTTTGCCTTCAGGAGAATTCAAATTTGGATCTAGGGGCTGGGGTTGTGGCTCAGTGGTAGAGCTCTTGCCTTGCATGCACAAGGCCCTGGGTTCGATCTCCAGTACCACACACATTAAAAACCCCGTTAATAATGATAAATAAATAAATGTTTAAAAAAACCCAAACATTTGGATCTAGACCTCAGTAGAGGCCACTTTTGCTACCAACTCAGATGAAAAGATGTCTAACCCCGAGAAACTGGGGTATGGTGACACAAGCCTGTCATCCCAGCACTTGGGAGGCTGAGACCAACCTGGACTACGTAGTGAGACCCTGTCTCAAGAAACAAAAAGAAAAACGTTTCAGTGGTTGAAGGCAGCCCCTCAGGGCAGCAGTACTGGACCAAGATGGCGTCTCCGTAATTTCTCCTGGGAACCGGCCCATTCTTCCTCCCCTAGCGTGTGAGCATCCGCGGCCTTAGCCCAGGCCCCAGACCGCAGGAGGACCAGTTTCCGCCAGGGTATCCAGAGGGACGCTCACTCTTTCCACAGGCCCTTGATATCTGTTTTGACTGTCCTGAAAGTGCAGGGGAAGTTTTCTTTTCCTATAGCACATTATTAAAAAATAGCATATGTACAAAAAGATACAGATGGGTAAGTGTTCACAAAATGAAAATTTGAGCACTTGGCTCTAAGCACGGCACATCCCTAGCACCTCCAAGCCCCCGCCAGGTCTCCTCCTCACGCCCTTGCCACTCTGGTTTCTGACAGTGTCCGTTAGTTCTGCCCATTTGAGTCTGGGTAAATGGCTTCACACATTATGTTCTCCTCCCTGTCCAGCTTGTTTTGCTCAGTGTTAGGTTTGTGAGATTCACCCAGGTATACTTGCTGTTTTCTTGGGGTTTTTTTGTTTTTTTGCTTTTTTGCTTTTTTGGTTTTTTTTTTTTCTGTCTTTTTTGAGACAAGGTCTTGCTATGCAGTTCAGGCTGGCCTTGAGCTCACTTCGTAGCCGAGGCTGGTCTCCAACTCGCAGCGATCCTCCTGCCTCAGCCTCCCGAGTGCTGGGATTACAGGCATGCGCCACCACGCCCGGCTTGTTTCAGCTTTTGATGACTGCATACAGTGCTGCCGGTTCATTAGTTGGTGACTGTATTGTGGACTCCTGTCGAGTAGACAGCTAGGAGTGGGATTTCTCAGTTGCAGAGTAAGCTGAACCTCATTAGAAGCTGCCAAATATACCCCTCAGTCGTCTCGGAGACTTTCAGTCGCATGTGGCTACGTTATTTCCTCCCTACAAGACTGGCATTCAGGGCCGGTGATACAGCTCCGTGGCACAAGTGCCTGCCTGATAATTGCAAGGTCTGAGTTCAATTTCCAGTACCAAAAAAAGAGAAAAAGACTGGCATTCATCAGCAATCTTGAAAGAAATGTACAGAAAATTTGTTTAGCTCTGTTGCATTGAATGAGCCTTTTAAAAGTAGGGATTTCAAAGCCAGATGTGGTGGTACACGCCTGTAATCCCAGCACTCGGGAGGCTGAGGCAGGAGGATCCTCGCGAGTTCAAGGCCAGCCTGAACTGCATAGTGAGACCCTGTTTCAAAAAAAAAAAAAAAGTAGGGATTTCAAAACACCAAAGCAGAGAGTACTTCTTAAAAATAGAGGCTATCAAGCAGAACTGCCAGCTGTCGTCAGAGTAGTCCCCTTTCGCCCTGCAGGAGGCACTGCTAGGGTCTAGGGTCCATGCTTCCCTGCGTGCCTCTGCTCATTCCTTGGTCACGGCAATCCCTGCCCTCCAGCTTTTCCCCTGGGAGGGGCTGCGGAGCCGCCAGACATTACTAGATGCACTCTGCTTTGCCCCACACCTGCTGCCTAATTGGTTCTGTCTGGGTTGGAACATTAGCAGCCAGAACTCAGTATGAGCAGTCCCTTCCTGTGTCCATAGCCCACTCTCTTAAGTGAGGTTAGAGCTGAAATCTGCGCCCCCATAACCTGCTTGTATTGGTGAATGTGTTCTTCAGTGTCTGCTTCAGAGAACAAGTACTGAAGAGCCGCTGCAGGGATAGAATTCCCAAGTCTGCCTCATTATTGTCAGTGATGTTGATGACCCCCTCCTCTCCTTCTGTTTCCGCTGGGGTTCCCCGAACTGTGCTAGGCAAGTGCTCCGCCTCTGAGCTACGCCCAAGCCCACTAGTGATGACTTAATTAGTGCGTGTGGTTTCTATTCTCATCCATATATTTTGTGAATAAGGAGATAAGGGCAATTTCAGTTTCCTTTCTGAAAAGTATTCACTTGCCCTGGAACTTTTGCTCATGTGAAGGAACAGGGTTGCATCCAGGGCCTTTATACTGAGCTGCATCCCTACCACCACCACCCCTTTTTTTTAAATAGTGAGGCAGGATCTCACTAAGTTGCCCAGGCTGGACTTAAGTGATCCTCCTGCCTCAGCCTCCCAGAGTGCTGGGATGATGGGTATACACCACCATACCTGGCTTGAAACTTCATTCTGAGAGTGCATCTGTAGAGGCGTATCCACGTGTATATGTGTGTGAATCCCTACCAGGGTCAGAGAACAAGGTATTTTAAAACACATCATTGATACCAACATTGTTTCTTTGTTTTATTCCTTGAACACAGCCATCAGCTTTTTGACAGCCCTGTACTGTCTAGGGCTCTGGGCCGCAGTATGCGATCTGTAACTAGTTGCATGATTTTCTTGGGAGACGGGGCCAAGTGCAAGTTTCTGTCCGCTGGGGCTGGTCCTGTCTGCGCTGTCACACCCGGCTATTCCCAGTGACCTCTGGCTGTTGCTCGTGAGCTCCTGGGTCCCGGGGTTGGATTTTTAGAGCCACACACACGTGCTACCCCTTCCTCCTCCAGCGTCGCCCTTCCAGGTTTGAACCCAGCTGTTGTGGGTCTCGTTTCTCTCTCCGAGCTTAGCATTTTCATTTCACGCACAGTGACCTGAGGAACTGAGGCGGTGGCGGGGGTCGTGGTGTGTTCTCTTCCTGGAAGTGAGACGGAACGCTGGGCGCAGCGGGGCGATCCCTAGGTGTGGTGGTGCTGGGACCACTCCTGGCGCAGTGGCGACGGCCTGCGAGGAGACAGGCAGGCTGGTGCCCGCGCACAGGCAGTTCACGTTAGAGTGTCTGTGTCCAAACTCAAAATCCCACCCCAGCTTCCCGTCCTTTGCACTTTCATGTCAGTCATATTAATCCATCTTCTTACTAAGTGCGTGCACTGGAGTATATTCTAACCCGATGTGAGAACGCAAGAATATTTTGTGCCAGCGAGTATCCAAAGGCAGTTTCTTCTTGGGGCCCAGTCTCCGTAAAAACAAAATGAACTGCAAAATAGCTGAAGTGGTGGAGGAGATACGTGAACTAACCACTTGGTGTATTCATCAACACTGACCGGGCTGTGTTCTGAAACTGAGTGTTCATTATACGTAAAGTCTAGTGCAGTAAAGCTCCGCTTCAGAAGAAACTGCAAGTAACTGGTCAGCATGATGGAATACTGAAGGCAGTCCTGCTCTGGTCTTTTCGCTCTGTGAAGTGGCCCCTATTCTGGAGACATCAGTAACAGTGATTTCGACTTTTCGCCGGTACCCTGCGATCGAAGTCTGCGTGACTGCGTTACAGCGTGCGCCACCACCCCGCGGCTCTTCCCTGGCTCCTCTGTGAGCCGCCGCTTCACCTCGCTTTGAATCATAACAGATCGGAAGAGTTTTTTGAGCATGTATTCAGGGCAGCCTAATGTGCAGAATCAGAATCCATCCCCTTACATCACCATTGCTGACCACAGCTCCTTCGGGACAAGGGTCCCGCAGAGAAGGGTCCTGGCTCTCGGTCCCTGGCGGTGGCAGAGGCCGGGGCGGAGGGCACACAGGACCAGAGTGCTGGTGAGGTCAGTGCCCAGGCACCTGCTGCCGGGAACCACTTCTCTGACGCCCGGGGCGGGGAACAAAGGTCTCTGCATCTCTCTCCCTCTTGGGGTGCTTCCCCCTCGTGCCCCCTGTGTGGCTGTGGCCAGGAGGTGCCCAGGCTGGGTTCTGGGGCTCAGAGCCCTTCGTGCTGTCTGGGTCCTCGCGCACGGTGGCGTACCTGCGTGGGGCTCCCCGTGTCTCCTGGGCCTCCATGTGGTGCTCAGTTCCCAGAGCCAGCCCCAGAGCCAAGCACTTCAGAAGCTTGGGCTTTTGATACCTGGTTTTCGTATTTTTTATTAAAACTCTTAATAATTTCAAGGTGGACATGTTCATTGTTGCTAAGGCGCACTTACTGTGTTACCTGCCCTGTTTCTCTGAATTTCTTAAATTGGCTCATTTACCCCTTTCTACCCTTTAGCTACCCGAAGGGCGTCTTGGCAGTTGGAAGGTGACAGGTCCTCTAGCACCCGTGCCTGTCTGTCTGTGTCCCTCTTTCCTCACCCCCTGCGCGCGTGTGTGTGTGTGTGTGTGTGTGTGTGAGTGTGTGTGTGTGTGCGTGCATGCACCTGTGCGTGTGTGCAGAGAGAGACTGAAGCGTGCAGTTTAATATCATAAAGAGTGTAAGGCTTTTAGGAGTCAGGCGTGGTGGTGCGCACCCGTAATCCCAGCCCTTGGGAGGCTGACGCAAGAGGATGACCTCAAGTTCGAGGCCAGCCTGGGCTACACAGTAAGACTGTGTCTCAAAAAACCAAAAATGTACAAGTAAAGTGTGAAGCCTGGCACAGTGGTACACACCTTTAATCCCAGCTACTTGGGAGGCTGAGGCAGGAGGACTGCAAGTTTGAACCCAGCCCAGTCAGTTTAGCAAAACCTTGTCTTAAATACAACAGAAATAAAAGGGCCGAGGATGCAGCTTGCTGCTCCTTGGCCTTATCCCCAGTATGGGGGAGGGGGTTAAAGTCTCCCCTCATGACCACACGGGTAGACGCAGTGTAAAGATAGAGGAGGACAGTTACACTGCGGTAATTAAATACGAGCTGCAGTTCTGCCTCATCCGTTAAATTAGAAGAGGCAGGTGGTGCCCACAGCCTTCTCCCTTCCCGGTAGAGGGCGCACATCACTTTTCAGGAGCCGCCGGCGTTTGCTGGCGCTGACCCGGAAGGGTGCGGTGCGTGTGTCCCTCCTGGAGGCGCCCTCAGCAGCATCTCTTCGTGCGGTGCGATGCCCTGCGCACGGCCGCTCCTCAGGCCCGCCGCCCACGGAGCCGCGCACGCGCTTTGCTCAGTTCACGACTCAGTGGCTTTCTGTATCCCGCGCAGCTGCAGAAGTAGAGTCTGGAGAATCTAAAGAGCTGTCTGTTTTTTAGAACTAGACAAGGTCTAGTTGTCAGGTGCTTGGTTTTTTACAGTTGTTGTGTATTATTAAAAATCCTGGCCCTCTCCCACGTCACACGACCTCAGCTACGGCAGCTCAGAGGGCGCCAGCACTGCTCAGTTTTACACATTTAAAACGTTGTAAAATTTACATACGGGAAAATGCACATATCCTGGGTATATGTGCTCTGAATTTTGCGAAAAGCATGCGTCGGAAGGACCCTAAATGCTATCAAGAGTGGAATGTCACTGTCACCCCAGGAAACCCTTCCCAGCCTGTCCCTGAAACTGCCACCAGCAGGGCCACCATCCTCGTGGGTCCTCTTCTGGGGGGGCCGTGTGCCATGTTCTCTCAAGTAAAGCTTCTTTCTGTAGTGAGATGGGTCCATTTACATTCATCCTTTCATTGTCATGTGTTGTCCCTTTTTTATTGCTAAATAATACTCCGTTTTGAGTAGATGTGCCACACACTGCTCTCTTGTTGCTGGGTCATCTCCAGCTAGGGGCAGTGGTGAGTGATACCGCTGTGGACACTGGATAGCGGGCCTGTGTGGACACAGTTCTTGTGTCGCAGACAAAACCCAGCTCAGAATGACTGGCTCATAGGGGATACGTTTAAATCTATGACAGAGACTGGGGATTTAGCTCAGCGGCACAGCACCTGCCTGGCAAGCACAAGGTCGTGAGTTCAATTCCTGGTACCAGAAAAAACAAACAAACAAACAAAAAATTAAATCTATGAGAAACAGTTTGCTTCTGAAAGTGACCAACAGTGTGGAATCAGTGTTCATTTCAGCATTAGCCAAACGCTAAAGTATCTGCCAAAAACCTTTTGCTCATGTTAAGATTGGCTCTTCTTTTACTGTTACAGGTGTGCTTTGTGTATCCTATCCTAGGTAGGAGTTGTTTGTGAGAGACATGTTTTGAAAATGTTTTCTCCAAAGCTTCTCTATTCGTCTTTTCAGGGGTGTCTTTTGATACTCAGGTTTTAATTCTCCTGAGATGTGTTTTGTAATTTCACGTGAATAACATACATGGCTTGTTTTAAAAAAATCCTGGGGCTGGAGGTTTAGCTCAGAGGCACAGTGCCTGCCTGGCAAGCACAAGGGTCGTGAGTTTGATTCCCAGTACCGGAAAAAAAAAACAAAACCAAAAATAAATAAATAAATAAAATTTTAAAAAAAACATCTGTCCCCCAGCAAGTCATTAAGATATGCTCCTCCACATTCCTTTAAAAGCTCTGGTTTCGGGGCTGGGGATTTAGCTCAGTGGCAAAAGCGCCTGCCTGGCAAGCGCAAGGTCGTGAGTTCGGTTCCCGGTACCGGAGAAAACACCAAAAAAAAAAAGCTCTGGTTTCAGCTTTGAGGTTCTGAATGATAATCATAATTGGATTAATTTTATGTGTGGCATGAGATAGAGGTTGGGAACATTTTGTTGCATGTGGGCATCTAGGTTTTACAGCCCCATTCATTTCTGGCACACCATAGGTGTGCACCACCACACCTGGTGAACTCATTTTAAAAAAGAAGTGTAGTTTTTAAAATTTATAGTATTAGAACAGTTTTAGGTCGGGTGTGGTGGCGCACGCCTGTAATCCCAGCACTCGGGAGGCTGAAGTAGGCGGATCATTGTGAGTTTTAAGACCAGCCTGGGCTACAAAGTGAGCTCAAGGCCAGCCTGAATTGCATAGAGAGACCCTGTCTCAAAAAGACAAAAAAAAAAAAAGAACAGTTTAGCCAGGTATGGTGGCCTATGCCTGTAATCCCAGCACTCAGGAGGCTGAGGCAGGATTACTACCAGTTCAAGGCCAGTGTGGGCTACATAGTTCCAGGCCAGCCTGAATATATAGTGAGACCCTATCCCCAAAAAAAGAACATTTTTAGACTGTACTAAAGAAAATGTTAAATATCACATCTTGGTTTTTGGTGAAGTCTCTAGTATTATGCCTACTTTTTTGGGGGGGGTTATTTTATTCAGGGGAGTTGGGGTGGGGTAAATTTGGTTTTTTTGGTTTTTGGAGACAGGGTCTCACTGTGTAGCCCAGGCTGCCCTCGTAGTGATCCTCCTGCCTCAGCCTCCTGAGTGTAGGAATGACAGATATGTACCACCACAGCCAGCGATATAGTGTTCTTCTTAAAGGTTAAAATTGATCTTTGAAAAAAAAACTGTGTAGGAAGCTGGGAGTAAGGACTTTGTAAGTCCTGGGACTTACAAAGTTTGTCTGACTTCGACACTGGCAAATTGCAGTACACTCTACTGCAATAGCTGCAAGACACACACGGTGTGACTGACAAGCGCTGTCATCTCCTTCTCTCCTGCCCCTAGGGTCACGGCGGAAGTGAAGCACAATGCCAGCAGCACCGTGGTGTGCAGGGTGCAGGGCGAGTGGAACAGCGTCCTGGAGTTCACCTACAGCAACGGTGAGACCAAGTGTGTGGACCTGAGCAAGCTGGCGGTGACGAGGAAGAGAGTGAGGCCCCTGGAGAAGCAGGACCCGTTTGAGTCCAGGTACGCGGCCTCGCACCCCAGGAGGCAACTGCGCTCTCGCCGGGCCTCCCGTGATCCACGAGCACAGACAGGTTGGTCACCAGCCTGCTCTGCCGCAGGGGCCGCCCACCTGCCGCCCTCAGCCCCTGCAGCTCCGGGGCTAGATGGTTCTCGGGCCTGTGTTCAAAAGAGCACACCTGCAGCCTGAGCAGACGTAGTCAGCGAGGGAGTCCGGGGGGCACTGCTGCCACAGCGGCCAAAACAGGGGCGCGCAGTGGAAATGCACACCGTGCACAGTGGTTCGCAGACACAGACCGACCTCAGCGCCCACTAAGAGAATGAAGAACGGTGGACGAATCGTGGTCAGAGATACAAGTTCAGCGGTCAAACACAGCAGTTTTTAAAAGGCCACCTCTCAAGGGGGTGGGAGCGAGTGGGCCTCTCCCTGCAGCGGCAGGGTCCAGGATCACACAGCGAAACGCAGCGCTGCAGGAAAGTTAGATGGTGTTCAGGTCTCAGAATAAATTTGAGTGCCAAGGCAAGATCAGAAACGTGGAAAACTTGTATCTGCCACTGAAAGCTTTTTTTTTTTCTTTTTTTTTGAGTCAGGGTCTTGCTGTGCAGCTCAGGCTGGCCTTGAGCTCACTGTGTACCCCCGGCTGATCTCGAACTCACAGCAAACCTCCTGCCTCAGCCTCCTGAGTGCTGGGATTACAGGCATGTGCCACCACGCCCAGCTGCCACCATAAATTTGAGGGCTTCCCAAGTACAGAATTTTCTAATGAAACTGCAGTGACATTAATGCCTGATACTTTAATATGATTGAGCCACAGTATTAGAGAACATGTATGGTGAATGGACCATCCCAGGTGCAGGTGAAGCCAGTAGGTTTCCGTGCAGCAGTCAAAGATTAACAGCTTTAGGGCCGGAGATATAGCTCGGCGGCACAAGTACTGCCTGGCAAGTGCAAGGTCCGAGTTCCATTTCCGATACCCAAAAAAAAAAAAAAAAAAGGACAGTTTTAGTTGGATACACTGCACCTCACCTTAAAAACTAGCACTGTACGTAGCAAGTTTTGACACAGTATTGAAGAATTGAATTATTCAAAGATATGTTAAAAATTCCTTCTTTTTTCACCTGTATCTGTGAATCCAGATTTTCATAATATCTTTAACTAAAACAATATATCACAGTTGGATGTGGTAGTGCACACCTGTAATCCCAGCACTCAGGAGGCTGAGGCAGGAGGATTGCTATGAGTTCAAGGCCAGCCTAGACTACATAGCAAGACCTTGTCTCAAAAAAAAAAAAAAGCAAAACAAAAAAAATATATATCACAGCAGACTGAATATGGAAACAGATATAAGAATCTATTATTAGCCAGGCATGGTGGCACATGCCTGTAATCCCAGCACTCAGGAGGCTCAGGCAGGAGGATCGTTGCAAGTTCGAGACCAGCCTGGGCTACAAAGTGAACTAAAGGCCAGCCTGAACTGCACAGGGAGACTCTTATCTCAAAACAAAAAAAAAGAATCTATTATTAAAGCAGCCATTAAAGAGATGCTGTTGAAGCTGGGCGTGGTGGTGCACACCTATAATCCCAGCACTTGGGAGGCTGAGGCAGGAGAATTGTTGTGAGTTCAAGACCAGCCTGGGCTACAAAGTGAGCTCAAGGCCAGCCTGAACGGCATAGTGACACCCTATCTTAAAAAAGACCCTAAAAAAAAAAAAAAAAAAAGAGAGAGAGATGCTGCTGGATTGTGTTTGCTAAAATTTTAAGTTTTTTTTTTTCAAAGTGTGATTTTTTTTTTTTTTACAGGTAGTTTAGATATACACAGTGACCACACTCATCATAGAGGGTTTGTACCTGTGCGTGATCTGTCTCACTGCTGCTTTTTTCCCATTCTCCTGCCCTCCTTTCAACCCTCTTCCTCTCCTTATTTACAAAAGCTTTGTTTCCATTTTTCCTTGTTTCTTTTTTTTCTTGTTGAAGGTTTTTGAAATATGTTTCTGTATTCGTGGAGTATATTGTTCTGTAGTTCGCTTTAGAAGAAAGTTTTTAACTCCCAATTCAGTATTTTTAGTACACAGAGCTGTTATGACTCCCCACTTCTTGAGTGAGCTTTGGTAGTTTGTCTGTCTTTCTTTCTTTTTTTTTTGTTTTTTTTCCAGTACCGGGAATCGAACTCACGACCTTGTGCTTGACAGGCAGGTGCTGTGTCACTGAGCTAAATCCCCAGTCCCCGGTAGTTTGTCTTTCAAGGAGCTGGTTATTTAACCTGTCAGTAACCTATAAAAGTTTTATTGGCACATCGCTCCTAATGCTATCTGATTGTTGTTTTGGTCTGTGTAGGCCGTGTAGTGAGAACCCCGCTGCCATCCCTTGCACTGGAAATATTCCCTCCCCTTGTCAGTGTGCTTGAAGGTCTGGGCTGTGAAGTAACTTCCAGTTAGTTTTAGCAACTTTACTCAAGGGCCAGCTTTGGATTTCACTGATTTTTGTCTGTTTTTCTGTTTTCCTTTCACTGATTTCTGCTTTTTATCTTTTTCATTTCCTACTTTGCCCATCATTTGTTATTTTCTTACAGTTACTCGAAGTGGAAGCTTCGGTCAGGGTCAGCAGACGTTCCCTGTCCACACAGGGAAATGTTTGCAGGGCGGTCTGCAGGGCCTGGCCACGCCCCTCCCCGCCGCTGCAGCGGGAGGCTGAGGCAGCGTCACCGGCTGGGTGCCAGCAGGCTGCAGTGAGCACCGCGGTGCCAGAATGGGCTGCCTGTTTCCGTCCTCGTTTTCCTTTCCCTCCCAAACGTTTCGTGCTGTGGCTTTCCTCTGAGGACTGTCCTGTTTATACCCAGTGTATTTGTTCGTTCATTCCTTCTTGACACAGGGTCTCCCTCTGTAGTTCAGACTGGCCTTGAACTCACTAATGACCCAGACTCGCTTTGAACTGGAGGCAGTCCTTCTGCCTCAGCCCCGCGAGAGCTGGGCTTTCAGGCGTGTGCCACTCACCAGGCTGTAACTCTCAACTTTTGATACGTTTTCACTTGAGAATATTTTCTGGTCTCCCTGGGTTGTTAGTGTTTCGGTCTTTGTCCCTCGGTGCCCTGGAGCGACCCCAGGCCTTGGGCCTGTTACAGCAGCGCTCCGACCTGGGCTCTAGCTCTGCCCAGCTGGGGGCTTTTGACTCATGAAGTTATCTAGAAATGTCTTGAAAATGTCCAGCTATTTGGGGATTTTGCAGAGACCTTTCCATTATGCATTGGTGTCTTAATTTCACTGTGGTCCAAGAATGTCTTTTGTGTGGTTCTAATTTTTTAAATTAATTTAGATCTTTTTCTGTCCCTGAGTGTGTCCCCCCTGGTAGATTTCAGGTGTACCTGACCTGAATCTGCCCCACTCATGTGGGCGAGTGTTCTGCAGATGTTGATTAGCTCAGAAGTGACAGTATTTTTCCAGTTCTTTCTGTCTTTACTGATTTTCTGTGTATTTCTGTCTGTTGAGATCAATTACTGAAATTACCAGTTATAACTAAACAGTTCTCACAGCTCTTTAAATTTTCACTTCCACTCTGGAGGCTGAGGCAGGAGGATCACTGCAAGTTCAAGGCCAGCCTGGGCTACATAGCAAGACTCTGTCTCAAAAAAACAACAATAAAAAGCATTCACTTCATTTTATCAAAAGCTCTACTCTGAGGGACATCCCCACTGAGGGCGGCTATGTGCGTTTGAGGAGGAGATTTTGTTTTTGTTTTTGTCTTTTTTTGAGACAGGGTCTCACTATGTAGGCCAGGCTGGCCTTGAACACATTGTAGCCTAGGCTGGCCTAGAAATTGCAGCAATCCTCCTGCCTCAGCTTCCTGAGCGCTGGAATTATAGGCATGTGCCACCATGCCCAGCTCAGCCTTTAATTTCGATGTGGTGGGATTGTCAGTGGGTTTTAGGGATGATCGTTTTGGTGTTGTGTCTGAGAAACCTACACTCTCAGGCGTTCCTGCGGGGCTCCCTCTAGGCGTTACAGCCTTCACCCTTAGTCTGTGGCCCCTTTTGAGTTCATTCCATGTGTGGTGCTATGCAAAGATCTGAGGTCACCCTCTGGGTGTGTGTTCCCAGTTGTTCCGTCACTTTTGTTAAGAAGACTGTTCTTTGCTCGAAAGTGTGCCCTGGAACTTTTCTTTGGCTGGAGGTCAGAGCCTCCCTCCCAGCCGTGGATGTGAACCCCCGGCAGTGCAGGAGGCCCGGTCCATCTTCTCTCAAAGATGCTTGCTGTGTTGTCTTTTGCTCCAGACCTGAAAACATGGGTTCATTACGTTTTGGTTTGGTTTTTTATAATACTGAGCTTTGAATCCAGGACTCCACAAATGCTCGGCAAGTGTACCACTGCACGATAGCCCAGCCTGTTTTATTTTTTGAGATGGAATGAGACATTTTTTCTTGCCCAAATTACCCTCAAACTAGCAGTCCTCCTGCCTCAGCCTCCTGCAGAGCTGGGGTTCCCTGCACATGTCTGGCGGTTTCATTAAGTTTGTCTGGTTCCCTGGTTGAAGTGGGAGAGTGAATCCAGTCTCCATTATTTCATCAGGCCAAACACAAGTAGGCTCTTACATTTCAACTTTTTGATAATTTTATGTATTAATTTCTAAGTCTCCCATAAAGGAAAACTCTCTTTTATAACTTGGGAAGCTACATGTTATTTCAGCTGCAGAAGAATCAGAAGCCACAGCAGCGTGTGTGGCCGACCGGGGCCTGGCGTGGGTGCCTTGGGATCACGGGTGTGACGCCGTGGGTCCCACGTAGGCAGAGGCGTTTCCGGAAGCAGCTGCGCCGTGGGAGCCCTGCGCTTGTGCACGCGGCTAAGGCCTGCGGTTTCGGTTGTGGTTGCAGGCGGCTGTGGAAGAACGTGACCGAGGCCCTGAGCCAGGCGGAGATGGAGCGCGCCACCGAGCACAAGCGCGCGCTGGAGGAGCGGCAGCGGGCGGAGGAGCGGCTGCGCGCCGAGTCCGGCACGCCCTGGAGCACGCGCTACTTCTCCAAGGAGGTGCGCGGTCAGGGGACGCGGGTTCGGGGGCCCGAATGGGCCACAGAGGAGCGCTGACCCAAGCCTCGAGGCTCACAGGGACAGGAACCGCCCCGACTGTCGCCCGCCTGCGGGCCATCGGGCGTGGTGGCTTCTGGGGACCCGGTCTCCAGGACCCGCTAACGCGGAGCTCAGCGGCCCGGGGCCTGGCTAGGTTGATGAAGGGAGGGGTCCTTGTCACCGTGAGCCAAATAAATGCCAGCTTGCGATGATACTGTGGAACAAGTTAGGGTAAATTTATGAAATATGTATGCTCTTTGAACTTTAGCATTTTCTTTAGATAGAGTTTCCCTAAACTGCTCAGGCTGGCCTGCTAATCCTCCTGCCTCAGCCACCCGAGTAGCTGGGATGACAAGTGTGCACCACCATGCCCAAATATAAAAATTATTCTGAAAAAGCAAATGTGGCCAGGGATGTAGCTCTGGGCTAGAGCAGTTGCCTGATGCGGGGAGGCCCTGGGTTTCACCCCCAACCCCAGAAGAGGGAGGGCAGAGGCGCAGACCTGGCCGCCTGTCCTCTGCCCCGTCGCCTGCGGCCACTTCCACCCCAGCACCTCTGCTCACTCAGCTTGTCCTGTCTTGAGTTCAGGACACTGAACTAGGACACTGCTCCGTCTCCTTGCCAGGCCCCACTCACCACGACCAGGAGAGCAGTCAGAAAAGCGGCGGGGCCAGTGCATCAGCCCGCAGGTGCAGGCGGTGCACAGTGGGGTCATGGTGGCCGTGTGGCCCCTGCAGGCACCAGGCTCCAAGCACCAGGCTGATCCATAGCACTGGCCGGGGGCAGGGTGGGCAGAAAAGCTGGGAACCGCATCTGCGGGCAGTACTTGTGGCACTTGCCCCAGGCTCCAAACCAACGACTCGCCCGGCCTAACTCACTGACCCGTGTCCACCGTCTCGAGCGTGGGCTTTATTTTTCACAGAAATTTTTCTTTTATGTGAAAACAGATTTCCATTGTAGTGACAGTGTCACTTCTAGCTGTGTGTGTGTGTCTGTCTGTCTGTCTGTGTTTCACTGGGGATTGAACCCAGGACCTTTGCACTGAGTTCCATCCCTCCCTAGCCCTTTTCTTATTTTGAGAAAAGGTCTGTCTAAATTGCCTGGGCTGGGCTCAAGTTGCAGTCCTCCTGCCTCAGCCTCCCACAGTGCCAGGATTACAAGTGAGCGCCTCCCCGCCCAGCTTAGTTTGGTTTCTGATTTGGAAGCTCTCAGAGGGTGTTTGCTGAGCGTGTGTCTCTTGTTGCAGGGAGACGGCTGGGTTTATCATAAGCCCCTGTGGAAAGTACTTGCAGCAACACAGCCGGCAGAGTGACATGCGCTCCCCACGACCCGACCCGACGCGGCTCCTCCGTTCCCCACCCCAACTGAGCAGAGTCGCTGCACTGAGGAGCCACCCCACTGCAGACCTTGGGCGCCATCATCCACAGCAAGACCAAAGTGTCACCTTCTTGTGACGCAGCAATATCTCAGCCTCCGGGGCCCCGCCTCCCCCCGGCCCTGCTCCTGCCGCCGGGGCCGCCACGCGAGCGACAGCACGGGCGCTGACTTGGGCTCTGGCAGTGACTCATGAGTCTCTTTCAGTCTGTGCGCTTTCTGGCCATCACCGGCTGCTCGCTGCTCCCGGGAGCAGCGTGGCAGGAGGAAGCGGCCGGTGGTCGGCCCGGCCTGCCCTCCGTGTCCCCCGAGCCGGCCCGCGCGGGGCTCTCTAACGGCAGTGTTTCCACAGCGGCCGGAACCAAGCCGCGGAGTCTTTTTTTTGAGCATTTTCATATACTTGAAAAGAGCATTGACTTGAAAAGTTTCAGAACATTTTTCAGTACCTAGTTTTATTAACTGTTACACTTGAGACCATTTTTTAAATGTGTTCACGTCGATAGGATGTGGGCCTTTCTCAAGAACTAAGGCGTTCAAGAAAACAGCTGATGTTAAAAGCGAGCTGTTACTCGTTCCCGCCCGTCCCGTGCTCGGTGGCAGTCAGTATTACGGGCACCGGGCGCCTTGCGTCCTCTTACCTCCGCGCCCTCAAAGGGGAAGCGAGCGCCTCTGTGTTGCTGGTGACGGCGAGCCTGCGCCGGTGCGGTGCGTCAGGTGTGCTTTCTCCTGCTGTCAGGGAACCTTAAACAGGGAGGAAAGGTATGAAGTGGAGAGCTATCAGGAAGTGGTATTCAGGTACAGATCTGTCCTGATCAGTATTTCGTTGAGGCTGAAGAAGTGCTGGCAGTTGCAGAGCAGTGCTGACCGCGCTCCAGCGTTTGTCCATCTCCCGAGGGCCCGTGCACGGTGCTCTCCCTCACCCCCGCGCGACCTGAGCTTCCAGGAGCGGTGCCTTACACGTCCCCCGCCCGCGTGGTCTTCCACCGCGGCCGCGTCCCGCCCTCGCGGCCGGGGAGAGCTGCGTCCGCGCCTCACAGGCGCCAGGCTCTGCCCGGGCACGCTCTTCTCTCTGAGGGCTTCGGACGACGCAAACAGAACAATAGTTTTTTTCAACCAATTGTAAATTATAAGAAAAGAATTGGTTTGTGTACAACCATTTTAATGATTCCTTTTGCGTTTTTGCTGTGAAATGCACTGAAAAAATCTCAAGATGAGCTATCTATCGTTCATGTGTTGGGAAAACTGAGGAATAATAAAACTAGAGAACAGAGCTGCCTTTGCGTATGAGTGGAGGGAAGCGGAGAGCGGGTGTGCAGCGCCCGCCTGTGGGGAGACCGGCCTTTCTCTTTCAGTTCTCACCTCCAGCGGTCTGCAGCCAGAAAGGACATTTAATGTGTTCTTAAAAATGAAAATGTTTGTTTGTTTCCTTTTATTTTTTACCACGGTCCTCCCTCTCAGCCTCCCGAGTGGCTGGGGTCACAGGCGTGCGCCCAGGATGTTTCACTTGTGAACATCCTAGAACAAGATGACGATGAGCCCGCAGATTTCTGCTGGGCTGTGCTGTCCAGGCCCCTTGCGGACCGGTGATTCCTTTGGCCTGGAGGCTTTTTCTAGAACCACTGAGAGCCAGGCGTGCTTGTGCACACCCATAACCCCAGCGACTTGGGACATGGAGGCAGGAGGAGTGCAGATTTGAGGCCAGTCTGGGCAGTTAGTGAGATCTGATATCAAAACATAGGAAAGGGTTGGTAAAAGCTGAGTGGTACAGCACCCCTGTGTGCGATCCCACTACCACCCAGAAATGTTTTTGAAAAGAGGAATTTTAAGTTGTTTCTTTTTCAAGGCCGATTCCCACTGTGTAGCCCAGACTGGCCTCAAACAGATCCTCCTGCCTCAGCCTCCCCAGCTCTGGATTATAGGCATGCTCCACCACACCTGGGTAGGACATTTTAAATTACTATGAAAAACTATACTTAGGAATAAGTGAGATCTCTGTATTTTGGGGGGCCGAGCTCTTCACAGGCGGCAAACGTGCACCTGCAGGTCCTCGCTGTCCCTTCGCCAGTCTGGGCATCGGTGCCGTCCTCAAAGCAGGCTGGAGTGTGAGCAGCAGCGTCTTCTTCCAGAGGCCGCAGCTGTCTGCCTCACACAGGCTGCAGCTTGGATTTGGCTTTGATTATTTATCTTTACCTTGTTACAATTCAGGTCTCTCTTTTAGGCCGAGTTATATTGTGTGGTTGGTTGTTTATTTCTTGGGCTACAAAGGATTGAACTAGGAGCCACATGCTTGCAAGGCAAGTGCTCTACCGCTGAGCTACGTCCCCGCCATTTGTAAAAATTTTTTGAAAGTTTCCCTAACTTGCCCAGGTTATAGGACTCAAGCCTATAACCCTTCTGCTTCAGCCTCCTGAGTGGCTGGGAACATAAGTATGTGCCACTGTGCCCAGCGACTTTAGGGAATTTATTAGACCACTGCACCACACACACTGGGAGCAAAACACAAGGTGCCACGGAGCATGTGACAGCTCCGTGACACCAAGGACAAGATTCCAGGGGTGGTGGCATCGGCCCTCGAGATGCCACAAGAGCTGAAAGGCAAACCGCAAACCTCCAGTTTTGCCTGGAATTTTACCCAACAAAACAACGATGCTCTGTGGAACAGCGTTCTAACCCCAGCGCTTCACCTTCTGAGGCTGCTAAAGCTCACAGCCGAGTGGGGAGCAGCGAAACTCCGGAGCTGAGAAATCCAGAAAAATCTCTGGCAGCGGAGCAGCCGTGCGTTTCTAGAGGTTTTATTTTTCTTTCCTTCAGGGATTTGTGGTTATGCTTCTGTGGTCTTATTCCAGGGGCGCCGTTGTGTCTACTGTTCTGCCAGAAGAACGCATTGAAGAAACCCCCGTAGGTGAGGGACGCAGGCCACGTGTCACTGCCGTCACTGTCATCTTGTCAAGGAAGAGCCAGGCAGCCCCGGAAGAGAACAGAGCACTGGGTTTCTTGTTCTTTTTGGCCACGCTGCCTGTCCACTGTAAAGGGCTTAGGGGGCGCTGAGGCCGCTGCAGTCCCAGCTCCTCACCCAGGAGGCTGAGGCAGGGGCACCCTTGGGGCACAGGATGTTACATTAGGCAGGGCAGAGTGGGTGGCCCCTGCCTTTAAGTCCATGTGTCCTAACACACACACACACACACACACACACACACACACACACACACACACACACACGAGCAGGTGAGCGAATGCAAATAGAAAAGCTTGAGGCGGAGGGGTAGGTGCAGGGCAGTCAGCACAGGTTGGGTCCCTGCCACAGGCACAAGGACCAAAACAAAAAAAGCAAAATAACTCCACCCCTCCCGACATTCAGAGTAAAGCACATGACCGCCTGTGCCCGAAACCCCAGCTATTTTGGGAGGCAGAAGCAGAGGGGTCACAAGCTGAGGCCAGCCTGGGCAGCTGAGGGACCCTGTTTTGTGGTGCAAAGTAACACTACGAACAACGAAGCTGTCCAGGGAGCAGTAAGTAGGTGGGTGCGTGAATGAAGAGCACGTGAATCGATCGGGTAGATGAAAACCACAGGCTGGGACAGAGCTCCGAGTCCCCGGATTCTACACCCGGGGGAGGGGCCAGCCGGCCGGGCTGGGCTGGTGCACTGGCACCCGAGCTCCTTGGAGGCTACCAGGAGAATCAAGTGTTGGAGGCCAGGCTGGGTTAACTTACGGAGACCCTGACTCAAAATAATAAAAACAGGCATGGTTTTCGCGTGCCTGTCTGTAATCCCAGCACTTGGGGGGCTGAGGCAGGTGGATCATTACAAATTCAAGAACAGCCTGAGCTACACAGTGAGCTCAAGGCCAGCCTGAACTACACAGACCCTGTCTCAAAAAAGACAAAATTAATTAATTAATAAAAATAAAACGACTGGCTGCAGCTCAGTGCCAAGCGCCTGGTCCAACCCCTAGTAGCACAGGAGTGGGGTGCTGGAGTGTAGCTCAGGGCTCTCTGGGCTCAGTCTCCAAATAGGACAAAACAAAACAACCCCAAACACCCCAAAAATTAGAATTTAAGACAAGATCGGGCGTGCTCAGGGTGGTATGGCCAGAGACAAAAATTAGAATTTAAGAAAAATGGAAAGGAGAAAGGGAGGGCAACAAGAGACACAGAAAAGGAAGGAAGGAAGCAACAGCTTGTCCGGAGCACCACCCACAATTAAGTCCGAATGAGAAGCTACCAAAGCAAGCTGTGGGGCCTCCGCCGGTGGGGGAGCCCACCAGTGCAGGGGAGACCGCCCTCACTCAGCCTCTGGAGCCCCACAGGCCCACTCTGTCTGCAGGCCTCGCTGCGCCTTGAACCTGTGACAGAGGGGGAGAGTGGCATGTGCCTTGGGGCTCCGGCTGTCCTCAAATTGTTGTCCTCACTTTTTTAAGACAGCTCACAGGGACACCTGGGCAACGTCTTGGTCTTTAACCTGCGGAGGTTACTGCCTTCCCCTTGTGTCCAAGCCCGAGTTTTCTGTTGCTGCTGTTTTTTGAGGCAGGGTCTCTATGCTTTGTAACCCAGGCTGGCCTTGAACTCACTGGGATCCTTCTGCCTCAGCCTCCTGAGTGATGGGGTGACAGATGTGCACCACCACGTCCAGCAGAACTGACTCAATAGCTCAAAATTAAGGTGCTGCTCTGCTACCAGGGAAATCCCAACCGAGGAGCAAGTCCTCTACCAACAGTTTAGCACTAGGCTCCCCACAAATGTGCATCGTGTGCTGGGTGAGAGGGCGGCCCCTTTCCCACCGTGTCCCATTCCCAGGCCGAAGGGCTTTCCACTCGGAGCCCAGTGAACGCAGAGCAGGTCACAGGCCACACGGGGGCCCCTGGCCAGCCAGGTATTTCAGTGTCCCTCCAGGCCAGCCGACCCCACCTTGCCTCATGCGGGAGACGGGAACTAGGGGGCTCCCAGTTATTCCTACATCCCCCACCTCTCTTCACTGGGCCGGACTAGTGTCGATCTCCAGGGGGGTCTTCTTGCCCCAACCATGGGCTTCGGCTTTGCCGGACAATAGGTAGAGACCTAGGAGGCATCGCTCATCAGCGACACAAATTAGACCAGGGGGCATTTGGTGACCTTAAAGAGTCATAATTACTGCCTCCTTTAACCCCCTGGTTATTGACTTTCCCGTGTTTTGTTGTTTTGTTTTGTTTTGTTTTGAGACAGGCTCGCTCTGCAGTCCAAGCCGGCCTTGAACTCGCTTATGTAACCCAGGCTGCCTCCAGCGCAGGGGCCCCTGCCCGGCGGCGCCCTGGCAAGCGCTCTGGGGCCCCAGTTCCGCGCGCGGGGGCTGCAGGCGGGGCCCCACGCCCGGCTCCCGCTTCCTCCGTTCTGACCTTCGGAGCCGTGGGCAGGAGTCCCAGGGCATCCCCTCCGCAGTGCGTTCCGCAGTGGGGTCCCCTGGCCCCCCCACTTCCGAGTCAGCCGCGAGGCGCCCTGGGACGCAGCGGGAGGGGGCGGCCCGCTGCCCGGGACGGAGGGCGCGGAGCGGGCAGAGGGGTCCTGGCGCGGGGGTCCCGGGCCCGGCTGCGGCGCTGCTTCGCGCCTGACCGTGCCCAGCCCCG